TGGTTTCTTGCCAATTGCAACTGTCTTTTTATCCGTTCTTTTGAAAGCAATAGCTCTTTGCAAAAACGTAGACCACGCATTCTCAATTTATAGTGCCAAATCAACTTTGGGAAAAGTTAAAAAAAATGTGAGCTGAAACTAACATTTTTATATTTCATTTGAAACATGAAAGTGTATAGTTATTAAAATTCACAATTTGATTTACAGACTTCATTCTGTGTTTTGTTGACCTCCTTCGAAATGAATGCGGTTGGAAGGCTAATTTTACACAAAGCTATTTTACGTGATGTTGTAAATCCATATTTGGAAACGAAATATTTTTTTTAATACAAAATTAAGATAATACACTTTAAATTTTAACTATGAATATTTATGAAGCCGTTTAAGCACATTTGTAAAAGGGTATAGAATATTTGATTCAATTATGAGTAGAAACAAAGCAGGCATAATTTTCATTTTAATGAAATTATTTTCTTTTCATTTTATAAAATTTTTTATCAAATCTGATGATAAGCTAAATAATGACAATATTCCCTAAAATGCTTCATTACGTGAATCTTTATTAATCTGTTAAGAGAAACGCACATTATTTAAGATATAAGAGGGAAAAATCTTTCGCCATTACCTGGTTACGCAGTGAGTGTTAAATATCACGTAAATATCGCACATAGATATCATAAAAAAAAAAAGTATATTCGGGGAAATTTGATTCTTTATTTCAAATTATTGAATTTGATGAATTTTCTTATCTGTGTTCTTGACAAAGGGTTGAATTAAAAATGCAAGTTATGACTTATGGTTTATTCCCACTTTCAAATCATTTAATTTATCCCCCTTCCACCATTTAATCTATTGATATTTCAAATGCTTCATTGCTTGTGAAAACTTTATCGTCAAATCTCAAAAACAAAATAAAGTTACCCCCACCACCCTTAAAAAAGTTTGTTAATAATTACAGTTGCATATTACATGTGCTCTAAGGAGCAATACACATTCTACATTATATAACGTCAATTGAATTTTCAGTACCATCAAATTAAATGGGGAATATTGGGTACACAATTTAATATATGTTTTTCTTGCAAAGCAACAAAAATGGAAATAGATTCAATTTCGACCACTTTCTTGACACCCAACACCCATAGCCATTTTTTTTACCCGATGTATATTTCCTATGAAAATGACTTTTTTTTCTTCAAAATGTTTAGCTTGGTATACAATTTAGGTGTAGAAACCACTTTTCTAAGTTGACAATACACTATCAGTTCAAACAAACAGCAAAATACAAGCTTTAAAAAAAATTAAGAAGGTTTTGTTTCAGATTTACGTTCCAAATGATAACGTGCATTATACTTAAAACTATGCAATATTAACTAATTACTCAAAATGGAAACATTCGATCATTTAACCACAAGGCTACTTTTGAATAATATTATATCAATTCAATTTTCAAATCAAACGGATGCATAAAATATCGAGTAAAAAATGGTCACCTTTGCATGTGCACTTCCATTTGCATTTCTGCACTCTTGTTACAGAAAAAATGCCATTTTAGGACACGGTGAATTTCTTCATGTTTTTAGTTTTTAAATCATTAAGATTCACTCGCAAATATGTTCAAACAGCTTTAGAATTTAATTCTAATTTACTTTAAAACATGGTAACGTAAATATCGGTAAAGTAAATATCTTTCTGAGATTTATCGTAACTTCTAGTGCTGTTGTTTAATATTTCCACTGTTAATTAGAGGCATCTTCTAGTCCTTGAGTGTAAGTCAATTTAACCCATGAGAAACAGTGCAGTTCTCTTACTTAATTTGTGAATAAATACTAACACGTAAATATCGATGAATTTTTAAACCATTGGACTCATCAACAAAGGGGGGATATTTTTAATAAATACAGATAAACAGTGTCTTTTTTAACCATTACATGCAATAGAAGAGGTGTTCATGATGTTAAAAAAGTTACACTTTTTCCTATTGAGTCAGTTCAGCAATCTCAAATAGAAAAGTTTCAATTTTGCGGCGAAATCAAAATCTGATAAACATATTAAAATTTAAAAAAAAAAAGTGTGACACGCATATGTGCAAAGAGTGTGATCCTTCCTTTTCATAGAGGGAAATTACTATTTAAAAACATAAACAATACTACATTATCCTACTCTTTAGTGTAGTTTCCTTTTTAATGTTATCCCTTTTCGGCGCTACATTTCGACAAAACCAAGAGGACTATGGTAAATGAACAAAGAACTTAAACCAGAAGTCTCTGTCGAGACTGTAGCTCTACTGGTTTGTACTTATAACAAAGGATGAGAAAAGAAGCCATTGCCATCAGAAAACTGTAGGATGACTAGCGTTTTAAAGGAATATCAAAGAAAATTCAATTTTGAGTAACCATGGCAACATCGTTCATCGAAATTAAAATCCAATGCACTATGTATCTAAGTGTAGTCTACTTGTGTGCCAAGTAATATTGAAATCAAATCAAAACTGTTGGAGAAGTAGAGTTTTAAAGAAATGGCAAAGAAAATTCTATTTTTAGTAACCATGGCAACACCGTTCATCGAAATCAAAAACTGATGCACTATTTTATGTATCTTAGTGTAGTCTACTTGTGTGCCAAGTAATATTAAAATCAGACCAAAACTGTTGGAGGAGTAGCGTTTTAAAGGAATTTCAACGAAAATTCTATTTTTAGTAACCATGGCAACACCGTTCATCGAAATCAAAAACCGATGCACTATTTTATGTATCTTAGTGTAGTCTACTTGTGTGCCAAGTTATATTGAAATTAGAGCAAAACTGTAGGAGGAGAAGCGTTTTGAAAAATTGTTTACAGACAGACGGACAGACAGACGGACGGACGACGGACACCTTACTATCGCAATAAGCTCTTCTGGTCTCTGACCAGTAGAGCTAAAAACTACTAACCCTTTAAGAAGAAAATTTACAATTTTCAACTACATGGTATCAAGGAAAGCTTGTTTTATACAATTGTTAAAAACCTATGGTAGAATTGTATAGTAGAAACATCGTACCATTTATATGTAAATTCCCCTTAAAAACATCCACTGGAAACTTAAGATAATAATTTTAAAGTTATTTATGTTTTCACATTATATATGATATATAAAGTAGGAATATGTCGTACTGTAGTTTGAAAATGGTAATTTTTCTTACAATAATGTGACCTTAATTTGTGCGAAAAACCACGTGAACTTAAAAAGTGCGTTGAGCTGTAGTTGTGTTTAGTAGATAAGAAGATCTGTACCATCTGTACTTAAAAGAAAATCAGTATAAACCTATTTTACCAAATTATATAGATACACATTATTTCAAAATTTTTGTTTGGGATAATAATCGATTATTCACATAGAGATTAATTTCAGCATGAACGATTTCATGAAAATGTTCTCAACGCTATGAGTCTGGTCACCTGTTTAATGTTTATGGAAGAGAAGTAAAGGTATTTTAAAAAAATTTATAAAAACATGTACTGCTACAAATGTCAAAAGATATCTTAGATTATCATGATAATTAGGAAATTAACTTTAATTTCATTTAGTCATCTTTTTCATTAGGGAAAGTGATCCTTAAAATATGAAAAACAACTTTAATTCCCGGACGTTTTTAGAATTTTACTCAAGTAATTTAGTTCGGCAAAGGGAATAGGCAAATTACAGACTTTTTAAGGTGATATGTGTACTGTCAACGAATGTTCATTTGGACCATTCTTGCATGTTATTCCTTTTGTATTTTCCTTATGTTAAAACTGTAGTCATGCAATAAAAATTAATTGTTGAAAGGTTGTAATGAGACATGATGTTAAAATTGCGGCTTAATTTGTGGTAAGTGTTGGTTTCAGTTGTAAAAAATGATTTGTATTTCACACAGATAAAAATAATTTAGTTTAAATTCTAAATCCTTAGCTCTTGAATTCACAAAGCGTAATTTTTTTTTTTTTTTTTTTTTTTTTACATAACTGGTTATAATACATCAGGAATCATAAAATTAAGGGGGCGGCCTGTGGTTTTACTGTGCAAAAACTATAATAGCAAAATTTTTCATTTTTATACCATATATAACTTACATTAACTTCAGTGTACATACAAAGTTTGGAGAAAATCTACCATCCAGGTATTTTTAAGGGACCGTCTCAAAATACAGGTACATTTACTATATGATTACATAGGAAAATGCTTATTTTCAGCACTATGAAGCAAATTATACAAATACTACAATAGACTTTTAATATTGATGAGTTATACTATATTATACAATATATGTAAGAAACACAAAATACTAATGTCTTGTTACCAGAGGGGACATCTCAAAATGCCAAAAATTTACGAATTTTCCTGTTTTTATAAAGTACTACAAAATATGATGGGCTTAAAGGATTCAAATCAAAACATTACGAAAATAATTGAGATATTCTCAAATTTCTATGTTTAAAATTTCAAGAGCGTATGTTTATTAATTTTCTTTGATCAACATTTTTATTACCCCCTTCTTTGAGAGCTTCAGTTTATCATAACATCAAAAACACATCGTAACCACGTCAACTTACCTATCAATTACAAAATTAGTTTAAAAATCAATTAATTAAAATAGTAGTTACATTTTCATACGTAAAATTTAAAACAGTAAATACGCTTCATTTTACTATGATGCTCGAAAAATTGCGCAATGGAAACCATAGTCCGCCCCCCCCCCCCCTTAACTAAATGAACAACTAAAGGCAAGAAGACTTTTTTCCTTTTTCGTTATCCGTTTAATGTTTTAAACTTTTTGTTATATTTTTTTTTATCTGCCAAATAATAATTACTTATGCGCTCTATTTTCAGAAACATCAATTTAAAGGACCTCAGTATTTTTGCAAATTTGATCCCAATATGACGCAAATATAAGCACTCCATTAAATCCTTGCGACAAAGTTAAATTTGTAAATGGAGACCCATGCAAAAAATTGATGAACGGATAGATGGATAGAAAGTACCTTTTTGAAGTCCTCTGTATACAAGATTTCCATTTCTCTAAAAAAAATTGAATGAATAAAGAAAACACATGAAAAAGAAAATGTGAATGAAAAGAGCAAATATAGTAGCATAAAAGTTATCCACTTGGTTATGAAGATATATACGAGAGTATCATTTAAACAAGAAATGATGTATCATTTTGAAATATATACTTGGACGTAAGGGTCGCGTGATTAGCTTTTTAAACTTAACTGTTCGTTAAATTGATGATTTAATGATTTTAATTATTACTCTATAATCTGGGTTCTCCATGGGCTGTTTAACGTGGTGATCCCACAACAGTTAAATTTCTTTGCCTCACAGTTAAAAGATCGGCGCCATAGTTCCACCACAGATTGAATATTAGCGCCACAGTAAGATCGTCGTTGTCAGTAGGATAAATATATATATTTTGTTAATCAAATAAACCTCCAAACCTCAAAATTATATACCTTTTTCAATTTGTAATGCTAAACTAAAACTGCTAAAGTGTTATAATTTCTTTAACTACGGCCAATTGTTTGGCTTGTAAAATCAATGTAAGAGCGTTTGCCTTAGAGTCGCAAAGTAAGGAGTCAATCCTTACGTCGAGGGTTCGAATTCCCTTGTGGGACGTGGAGATCGGTCCTTCGGATGAGACCGTATAAACGGAGGTTCCGTGTCCCAGTCGGTGCTAGCACGATAAAGATCCTTCCCTGCCCAATGGTCCTGAGTGCCGAGAATAGGACTTTGCAACTCTCCATCGGCATATGAGTGAAAAATTCTCGAGAGGAACGTTTAACAATATACAATCAATCAATCGGACATTTAAAGTCTTTTTTCACTCTTCTCGATATATAATAACAAAGGTACTTTTAAATATAAATTAGTTCATTTTAATAGTTCTACAGTTAGCCTTGCATCTTACGTTTCACTTGCACAAAACATCTTACGTCTTATGTGACCTACCAGAATTTCCTCTGACCTTTAAAGGTCACTCTACGTGTATATTAACCTATTGTAAACATTTTCTTTTTTTTTTTTTAATTAAACCTGTTATAATTGATACTTTTTTCAGATTCTATAAGCAAATATCTACAATGTAGTATTTATGTAGTACGTATGTTAGTTTAAGAGTGGTTGGTTGGGAGGGGGGGGGGTTCTTTTTGACATTTAACATGTGGACATATTTTAATTTTTATTTAACATTTTTTTTTAAAAATCGAAAACAATTTGTTATTATTTACATCTAATTTGTCAATCATTTTGCTTAAAAATCAATGTTATTTGTTTATGTACCTAACATTTATTCTAGGTGATTGTATTTTTCAATTTATTTCGAGATTCCTTCGAAATGACCAAGAATATTAAATATGATGGAGAACCCTAATAATGTTTTTTTTTTTGTTTGTTGTTAACTTTCCCAGGGATACATACAGGAAAACGCCCCTTTTTAGGTCACCTGAGTTAACTCAGGTGACTTATTGCTATCCGTTTTTGTCCGTCGTCGTCCGTCGTCTGTCGTGCGTTAACATTTGAACATTTTCATCTTCTTCTCTGAAACCACTGAACCAATTTTAACCAAATTTAGCATAGAGCATCTATGGAAGAAGGGGAACAAAAATGGTGAATTTTATGGTCCTTGCCCTTCTGGGGTCTTGGGGGTGGGGCAAAAACCACTAAAATTAGTGCAATCTTTAAAAATCTTCTTCTTTACTCCTGGACATCAAGCAGTCAAACTGTTAGTATGATTGAAATCAGCATTGAGTCCTCTACTATAATTGTGAAATTCATGGCCCCAGGGTCAGGGGTTCTAGTACTATGGCGGGGCTAAATAGGTTACATAGTGAAAATGCATTATTTCTTTAAAATTCTTCTTTTCTGCTCCTGGGCATGAAATAAACTAACTAAGTGCATACACAAGACGAAAGTCCACCTTTCAGCAATCGCTTAATTGTAGCTTAATGGTGACTTAATGGTGGCTTAAAGAAGTTAATTCCTTTAAGCCACCATTTAGCTGCAACTTACAGGCGCTTAATGTCCAAACTTCATTAAGCTACCATTAAGCCACCATTAAGCTGAGCTTAATGGTGACTTAATGGTCAAACCTCATTAAACTTTTACGCATCTTATATAGAATCTTTAAACTAACTGTTAGTTATTTTAATAGCATTTAGGCAAAATCTATTCCAACCCATAATTTTGTCTCAATCATAATTTCTACGATTTTTTTGTCAACATACATAAACTTGATCACTGAGAACAAAGTTAGCTAATAGCCACAGGGGCTTGCTCGAGGTGTCTAATTTTTTTAAAAAATCAATTACAGTGATAATAAAACAAGACATCCTTTATCAGAACCGTAAATTATTTTAAAAAAATATTATTACATGCGTTTTTTTTTATTTGTAGTGTTTATGATTTTTAAAAATAAATAATTATTACACACTGGGAGCAAGTCCTTGTGAAATATCCTAAATTTTCTATACCAAAAATCATTTTTTTCTTAAAATTATCTTTATCCATGAACACAGAATATATATTACTTTTTAAAAACAAAATGGTATAATTTTTATTTCATGTGTTAAAAGAAACATTCCGATACAGAATTCACAGGAATATAACTTAAAGTCATATAATTTCATGAAAAAAAATCTCTGTCTTATTATTATTTTTTTTTTTTGGGGGGGGGGGGGGGGCTACTGGTATACAAATGTTTAGTTTTCAAAGATTTACTTTTTACCATAAAAACTTTTTAATGGCTTTTACATCATGAATAATTTTAATTAATTCGTTATCTTTTTTTAATAATGCAGCGGTAAGTATCTTTTAAAATCTAGTCTGTCTTCAATGATTGTTATTTCAAAATCGATTTTCAGATCAGCCGATCAGACTAAATATAACATCCGACCAGATGTATACATTGAGAAACGGAGTAAGATTAACAGATGATCAGTGTACAGTAAACCGACTGGTCAGATAATAGACCTTAATTAGGTGTCCCCCCGTCCCCGGTTAAGTAACAGGAAACTATACACACACAACGTACACTGACAGATTTTGATGATCAATTATTTTTACAAAATTTAAATTTAAGGCAAGCATATAACAAATTAAAAATTATGATTCATCGTAAAAAGTCAATTATTTTGATACCCATAATGAAACAAAAAGAATTGAAACTGAATATGATATTCTAAAAAAAGTTTTTGTAAACGTAATTAACCAGGTATATCTTACGCGAGGATTGTCACTAAATTGTTGTCACAGAAACCGTTAATATCCGCAGTATATCAAAAAAATATAGTAGAATCTGTTTTTTCTTCTTTCTTTTTCGATGATAGATTTTTGTGTTTTATCTATAATTAATTGATTTTTCAATCATGATTTAATGCTTACATGTATAAAGAGGGTGTTGCAGAAACTCGCGATTATTCCCTATATATCGAGAAGGACATTTAAATACCCTCGTTATGTCTAAATATAGATACAGCTACGTAGAGGACTATGTTTACGGCGGGTTTTTCCTGCTTGATACAGCAAACACTTTGTTCATTTTGCACGAAAAAGGCCGGAACAACAAAAAGCACAATGGCTAAAGCAGCATTTTGAAAGATTTACTGTAGACATCGTACGAAAATATTTTTCATGAAATAAAGCTGCGTCCAATAATCACACTGTCGGTGCTACATTCAAAACATTTCATTTGTTTCAAATCAGACCTTTGCTACTACTAGGAGACCACAATTATTCAAAGTTTCAATAACCACAGTATGTAAAAAATAAATCATTTAAATACAGTAACTTTATTTTCCAAGACAAAACTAAATAATCCATTAGTTTTAAGTCACAGCATAACATTCAAGGAAAACTATTTAATCCTGCATTTCTGATATATATTGTTATCACTCAATTAAATTCTTTTAATTAACATTCTCTCTCTCCCCCCTCTTTCAAAATATATATAATTTCATTGCACTACCATTACATATAAAAAAAAAAATGGCAAAAATTATCCATTCCAGGATTCGAACTCATTCTCTGGTAAAAGTATTATTTGGATGCCCACCAGCATATCCACTAGACTATTTCGGACACAATGATTTACCGTTTTGCATTTCGTTTAAAGAATAATTTTTATTCAATTTTTGCGTTTTGCAAAAATGTGCCTCTTTGAAACAAAAATCGGAAATGGCAGTTTTGAAAAAAATTCCTGCCTCTTTGTGTATATATCAAAATTATTCTGTTTCAAGGAGGCACTTTTTCAGAACGATGGGGATTCCCTATATAAAAAACGGAAAATCTGATATATTTTGCCGTGAGACTAATTTTCACATCATTTAATGGCATTTAATGGCTAATTGGAGGTCAATACACACCTTCCAAATATTGTTTCTCATTGTACTTTATATATTGTTGCATTTGAAAAAAATTATATGAGTTTCTGCAATATAATTTTTTTTCTTTTAATCTGCTACACATGTAGGGAAAAATAACAAAAAACTGCAACACCCTCTTTTCGAATAACAGAGCGAAGAACTCATTCACATTACATCAATCTAAAAGCCAAAATCAATGGTTTAGAAATATTAATGTGATATAAGCCTTTCAAAAAGATCCACAAATAAAATTGTTTATATTTGATTAATAAATCAATTCAAGATTTTTGGAAACGTTCAACAAAATTCTAATAAATACTTTTATAAGTCCAAACAAATTTTGTTAAAAAAAAAAAAAGGTTAAATATTTAATATTTTCATCATTAATCAAGAGCGGCGATGGCCTAGTGGATAAGCCGTATGCCTTTTAATCCTAAGGTCATGGGTTCGCGCTCCGACTGTGGCGATTTTTTTTTTTTTTTTTTTTTAATTTTGAATTTCGTTCTTTTTCATTATTTTTACCAAATCAAGATATGTGCGAACTTTATATTTATAATATTGATAACAAATCACTATAAAAGTAATTTTTCACCCATATAAACAATGTTATCGACTGCGTAATGGTGGCTTAATGGTGGCTTAATGGTGGCTTAATGGTAG